CAAGCAGTGGTTGAGAGATCTAACAGGACACTTAAGGAGATGCTCCATACACAGGCTGGTAAGTCAACCCCCCCCCAAACATAGGTTGCATAATGCTTTATTGACACTAAACTTTCTTAATGCCAATGACATAGGACAAACAGCTACAAAAAGACACTGGACTATGGAAAAAAACTGCTGAATTAAATCAACCAATATACTTCAAAGATGTACTAACCTTGATATTGAAGCCTGGACATGTGTTACGTTGGGGTAGGGGTTTTGCATTTGTTTCCACAGGAGAAGAAAAACTTTGGATACCATCAAAGTTGATCAAGATTTCAGTTGAAAAAGATAAACCTCTTGACAAGGACGAGTGACAGGTATTTACTGAGGTATATCTCATAAACTAAATAGAAACCTCCCAAAGGAAAGGGAAGTGTTTTGCTTCTATCTTCACAGGAAAACTCATTTCCAGAAATCCAAGAACATGACATGGGTAGATGCTTAAGAAGAGAAGGTAGCTATAACCATCAAACAAAAGGAACGTGCCATACGGTAATCTTTACAGCTGTCTCTCAAATAACTCTATTTCTCCTTATTTCCTAGTCCCTATTCAAGTAAATCAATACTGGATTTAGAGTTGGATTTGGCTTTCCTCCCCTAAAATCCAAGCATGTTGTTTAACTACACCTTAGTGTTTCTGTATTATATCAAGAAGCCAATTGATATAATACAGAACGAGAGAAGAATTTGGGGACTGTCTGTGCCTTTCTTGGCTCTTTCCTTCAAGGTGTACACCATCTCACAATCATTATTTTCCTCAATTGCCTTTTCCAGCATACATACATACACAAGCAAACATTTCTCTATTAACACTTATGTTTGAGTCCCACACAGCCAATGAAGGCCTGCCTGACAGCAATCCCTGGATGCTCCAGAAAAGAAATTGGGCCATACCTCCTCGACTGCACTGGATCCAACTTACTCCATTTTAACTGACAATCGGACCAGAGCTCCAAGTACTGACTTCAATCAAGTTGAGGATTTCAACCTATATCTCCAATCAAACAAATCCCATCTATCATGGACTGGATATAATCCATTAAAGAGTTTCACTATACTAACATTTTCTTCCCACGGGACCCCACAAGGCTACCATCGTCCCATTTCAGCAGGAAGTAACTTGGAGGATGCTACTCCCCCGTCCCCCATTACTGTCTATTAGAGTAATGTAAGCCTAGTTAGGAATAACTTTTCTATTGTTTAGGGTTGGGATTGGAAGGAGGTGTTCAGGTTTGGACACCTCTTTCAGATGACTTTAGGGTTTAGCTGAAATAGACTTGGTTAGAATGTGCAATAGCAGATTTCTTATATTTCACCTTTATGATTGTTAATTTTAGATACTTTACACTGTTAATTTTTAATCCTCTTTTAGACTAAAAGGAGAATTGTAGGGGACAGTAAGCCACTTCTGTTAGAGGCTGGCTACAGGTGTGCCTGACCATGCCTGTCAAGCCGTGGTCAAGCTGAGGTCAGGATGACGAGTGATGGGCTCTTAAGGGATGGCGAGCACATGGGAGGTCCCTTCTCTCTGGCCTCGATGCCTTGCTGCCCTGGGCACGCTCTGGCTTGCGTTTGGCTGGTATTTATCTGAATAAAGATATCTTAAACCTACAGGCTCTCGCTTTATCCCACTGAACCAGAAACTCGCCATTTCTGCTGGCTGTCTGGCCAGTGAGGTCTGATGCCTTTGCCCCAAATGCTGGGGTGACAGATTTGCAGCCATGTCCATGTGCCTACGTGCCGAGGGTTCAAACCCAGGCCCCACACTTGCAGAGCACACTGAACCATCTGCCTGGCTCTCTTCATTTACTATTTTTGGGACAGGGACTCATGTAGCCCAGAGTAGCCTCAGCTGCAGATCCTGTCAGCTCTGGGATTACAGGTGTGAATCACCACAGCTGCTTTTGAGCCTTACACTCCCTGCTTAACCCCAAACATTTCCCCTCCTAAAAGTCATACTATCCTTATTGCCTTCCTTCTCATCCTTCTCAATGCCAAGAAGTGACCTCTAAGAATTCACTGAGGACAAAGACTCCGGGATTCCCCAACCCAGGGCTGTCATTTCCTTGTATTGTGGGTATCCTTACTCAATTCCCTTCCCACAACACCAGATTCCCACTCTTGGTTTCTTCATCTTTGTGATCTTTGCCTCCTAAGCCTCTTGACTTATCTTGCCTTAGTCACCAAGCATGATCTGAGTCATCAGCAAGAAAGCCCTGCCATCCACCCATCTAGCCCTCTGGCAGGAATTAGTTTGGGATTATGGCATTGGATAAATTTCAAAACACTTTTCAACATTTTCTAAGATGTCTAAAATTAAAATGTATAGTAACAAATTTATGTGTGCACATCACATTGATAATTTTATGTGCATTGGTATGAAGGTGTCAGATCCCCTGGAACTAGAGTTACAGTTTTAAACTGCCATGTGGATGCTGGGATTTGAACCCAGGTCCTGCTGGAAGAGTACTCAGTGCTATTAACCACTGAGCCATCTCTCCAGCCCTACACATTGATAATTTTAAAAAATCCCTTGGACATTTTTGGTCTTTAAAGGTAGCTGTCACCAGCCAGGCATGGTGGCACACACCTTTAATCACAACATTCAGGAGGCAGAGGCAGGTGAACTCTGTGGGTTGGAGTGAGTTCCAGGACAGCCAAGCCTGTTACACAGAGAAACCCAGTGTCAAGAAATCACGCAGAAAGGTAACTGTCCTCTATCTATAAACCCTTCCTCCACTAAATGAAGCTTGGAACCAAAGTTCAGGACAGATTACATGTATATTAACACACTAATCAGATCCTTAATGATAAAATTTTTCTAAAATGAAATTAGTATTGTTATTTTGAAAAAAATCTCCAAAAATGATAAGCTAATAGAAATCATGTCCGGGCTGGAGAGATGGCTCAGCCATTAAAGGCTAGGCTTACAACCAAAAATATAAGAAATCATGTCCAAGTGAATGGAGATGCTCTGGTATGCTGGGTCTGACAGTTGGTTTTCTGTCACCTAGGCTGGGCCGTATTATCCAGTTGTTTGGTCACATATTCTTGTAGATGTTACTGCCATGGTATTTTTCAGTGTGTGATTAACATTTAAAACAGCACTTGAAGGAGAAGATCGCCCTTTACAGAGAGCACAGGCTTCATTCATGCAGCCATACCATAGAAGGTCCTAGAAAAGACTGAAGCCCCCTGAGAGATCTCTATTTGTACAAAACTTAGGAACTCAAGAATGAGCAAGTGACCCTCAACTTGTGTGTAACACAATCCACATCCTATGCTTTTACTTTCTGGCTGCATATGGACAAGTTTTAACACTACCCTCTCAGAAAGAATGTGCTGTCAATCCAGAAGAGATGGGTTCTTCTGACATGTCCTGACAGCACACCGGTGTTATGTCTGTAGGAGAGGTGGAGCCAGGTTCTGGGGAGCACAAAGCTTATGCACCTTAGAGAACAGTTTTCAGAGAGAAAAAAAAATTGAAATCCTCGCTTTGGTGAATGTTCCGTGATAGGCAAATTATCAGTGATAATATGAACACTGCCCCAGGCTCAGGAACATGCTGTATAACACAAGGAGCTTCAAAGCTTAAGTTTTCTTAGTCTCAGAATCAGGTTCTGACTCTGGGATTTGGGGGTAGAAAACGGTTTGTGCTTGGGTTGGTTACTGCTACGCTGGAGAGAGAAGGTTTGGGGTGGGGGTGGGGCGGGAGGCCTGGGTCCTGCTGTTTCAGGGGGACAGGCCCCTCTGCTAGCATCAGTCCCCCTCTCTGCGGCTCTCCGGATACCACCGTCCATGCTCTGCATATCACTGCTTCTTTTCAGGGTGCCTGTGGCATTTAAAAATGGCTTTCTTGTCTGTTATCTACAAACCTCTGTGCTTCTAGAAGCTTTTAGTCCTTCAAGGAGAGCATTCCCAGATGGATGGAGACAGTAGGTGCAACAGCTTCATGGTGGCCACTTCTCTCCATTATCCTTTCTCCACATGCCTGCCTACCACCCCCTCTTATCCTGGCATTTCTTCAGACTTCAGATGTTGGGTGCCTGCATCTCATTTGGAAATGGCCACAGAGATCATTGGTACCCACCCACCCTCCACAGCTTTTTCTCCCCCACTCCCATTCTCAAGTAAGATCCAATTTTTCCTTCAGTTTCTCCCCAGAAGCACTCACACAGGGTATAATATGCACAACAGAATTTCTGGTGGAGTTGGAACAAGTTGATTTGTATCACAGCCAAAACCAAGTCATTTCAAATTATTTTGTTTGCTTTTTTGATTTTGCATGGCCAGAGACTGAATCCAGGGCCCCAGGCACACCAGGCCCACAATTTACCTGTCAGATACATCCCCAGCTCTTAAATTTGCTTCAACATTTTAATTACATCTTATTATTTTTAGTGTGTGTGTGGTGGCATGTGTGCCACCGAATTGTCAGAGAACAACTTTTGAGTGTCGTGTCTCCCCTTCTATACTGTGCAACCCAGGAATAAACCCCAGGTCCTCAGGTTTGTGGCAGGTGACTCTACCCACTGAGCCATCTCACCAGCTCTAAAATTATGTTTTAATCACCTTATTACAACCACTTTCAAGAATCCCTCCCCAGACTCTTCTCCTGACCTGAGCCATTGGTAAACTACCTGACTCCTCGTCAATGTGACCAATCCCTTCTCAGTAGTCAGTGGATACACTCAGTTTAAGTTTCTTTTCTTCTATAAGAAAAGCTACCCAAAGCTATCACAGGAAAGCGCTGCTTTGATCTTTGCATTCGAATGACCAGAAACCATATAGATAAGGAAACAGGTAAGACACTGACCTGGATGGAACAAAGTGACAACCAAGAAGTCATCTTTGGAGCTAGAAGTTTTATTTAGGGAGAGGAAGCTATTCCTGGGGAAGGAAGCTATGCTGTGGATTCCAGGTTGTGCATATAGAACTCCAGACAGCTTCTGTTTCTACACAACTCCATCCTGCAGCAGGGCTTCTGCCTTGAGCTTTTCTAGTTCTTCACAGCTGGATTCTATCCGGCACCGCTGGTACCTAGCCCCAGGAGTCTTTTTCCATGAAGAGTAGTGACAGTGCCAGAGGCTGCAGAGGCCATAGACGGCAATGAACAAGGCAATCGAAAAGGCTATGTACCAGCAGAAGAAGACGCTTAGGAAAGCACGGTCTGCAGGGCTGTCTGACCGCCAGGGTTGTCCAGTGAGCGGCACATACATCTCACAGATCTGAAACAACCAGTTGCTGAACACCAGCCCCAGCAAACACTTGAGGATCCAGATTGGGGGATGGTTGGGGAGCCAGACCTCCACAGTGGTCACCAGAGCAAGCAAAAAGGACGGCACCATTAACAGAAGATGCACTCGGATCTCTAGGGAGCTTTTGTTCTCGGTGTGGGTTGCCATCAACACTACCAGGACATAGAAAGCCAGCGCTTCGGCTGCGTGTTCCAGCTTCTCACCCCAGCTTCTCACCAGCCGTGACTGGCTCACCAAGTCCACCACACCACTGAAAGCAAAGAACCCAAACATGGTAACATGCTGCCAGTTGTCTTTGAAAATAAATGGCCGCCGAGGGTCCTTCCAATCTATCATCTGCAGACGATTTTCCCCTGGGGGGTAGAACAACTCACAAACAACGGCTAAGGTGCCCATAAGCACCTTTATCAATGCTTCATACGATACCTGCGGCAACAGCCTGTGCCCGCACAACTTCCTCGGGAGCATGGGGTGCTTGAGGACCTTCTGCTCCCGTAGCAGGGCCAAGGATGTTAGCACCGAGTAGTACAATGAGTAGAGAAGGAAGCCCACTCCTGGCATCAGGTGTCCCTCAAGGGTTCCCATGGCGTTTGTGTGTGTTGAGTCTGACAGGACAAGAGCCAGCAGCTGAGGCACACACACCTTCACTGACTTTTGCCAAAAGCCTCACAAGAGGTTCCCAGGGCTTCCAGCAGCCTGGCCCTGCCACCCACATGTAAGAATCTCCTCATCACCGATGTCTGAGCCACTCCCAGGGTGGAGCCTCTGAGTGATGTGGGTTTCAGTCATCACAGAACGTTCCTGACTGAAGTGTGCTGGGCTAAGAGTTCAGCTTCTGTACCACAGGGCCACCACGGCAGACCTGGCTTGCCCTTCCTTCCATTAAGCCCCACGAGAGAGGAAAGGGGCTTTCACAGAGGAGTGGCAGACAGCCTCTGCTACTGTCGGCCGATGCCAGGCATAGTGTAACTATTTCTCTCATTTAAATCCCTCAGCAGGCAGACAGGAGAAATGGCTCAGTGAAGAGGACCTGAGTTCTGTCCCTAACACCCACCCGGGGCAGTTCATAACAGCCGGTAAGGGCAATGGCAGTTTCAGCTCAGGAGATCTGACACCCTCTTCTGGTCCTCTAGGGCACTCCCACACAGGTGCACACATAGTTAAATCCATGAATGACTTTATGACAAGGGACCCCTTTTGTTTAAGACCCATTCCATGTCGCTTTATTATCGAATCTCATGCTGAGGAAGACAGAGTTTTGCTACCATGGAGCTGTTCATATGATTTACTTTCAAATCGCTCTTTCATCGTTTCTGACAGGCATGTCTTAAGGGAGGCCAGATTTATTTTGCTTCTAGGTTTCAGAAGGCTCAGCCCACTGTGGTAGGGGAACAGGGCTGAGTCAACAGCTCAGATCTCAGCCGCAGGAGTGTGGCAGAGGCTGTTCACATTACGGTGAGCTTCATGGCCTGTCCCCTACTTTTCCCAGCCAAGCAAACCTCTTAGAGGATCCACAGTCTCCTAAGGTAGCAAGCAGAGAGTGAGCGTCCAAACCACAGGCCTGGGAGAGACAGTGAGGTCAAATCACAGCTGTGTTGCTATAACAAACACACACACACGTGGCGGGAGACCTGTTAACAGGTGCTGGGTTATGTTTGTGATAGGGAGGGACTCACGGAAGTAAGTCGGACTCAAATCACTTTTTTCCTTGGATGACCATTAGAATCACGTGAGTCTTTAGTAATACCTCCAGTGCTCGGGATTCACCCTCCAAAATTCTCATTTAATTGGCCTGGGATTAGATTTAAGTATTTATGCTTTTGGACTTCTCCTAAAGACACAAAAGGATAACTTCCATAGGATTTCAATTTGCTTGCTTTTTGGGACAGGGTTTCTCTATGTAGCCCTGACTATCCTGGAACTCACTTTGTAGACCAGGCGGCCTTGAACTCACAGAGATCCACCTGCCTCTGCCTCCTGAGTGCTGGGATTAATGGCGTGCGCCGCCACTGCCCAGCTCAATTATTTTTCTTGAGGAGGGGTCTCACACTATAGCACAGGCTTGTGAGGAATTTACTATGTAGCCCAGGCTGGTCTTGAACTCACAGAGATCCTCCTGTCTCAGCCGCCAAAGAGTTAGGATTGCAGACTTGAACCACAATGCCTAACTTGTGGTTCTTCCTATGAAGGATCCCTAAATCAGAAAAATTCTTAGAGGCAAAAAATAGAATGTTGGTCACCAGGAGCTTGGGGAAGATGGGGATAGGCCTCTGTGGTGGTTCAAAGAAAATGGTCCCCAAAGGGAGTGGCAATATTAGGAGGAATGTCCTTGTTTGGAAGAAGCGTGTCACTGTGGGGGTGGGCTTTGAGTTCTAAAACTTCTCCCAGTGTTGCAATTGACTTCCTGTTGCTTTTTGATCAAGATGTAGTCAGCACTGTGTCTGCCTGAACACTGCCATCATCCCTGCCATGATGATAATGAACTGAACCTCTGAACTGTGAGCTGCCAGCTCAGTTACTTGTTTTCTTTATAAGAGTTGCCATGGTCATGGTGTCTCTTCACAGCAGTAGAAACCCTAAGGTAACATCATTGCTTGATAAGTGTGGAGTTTCCCCGGGAATATGAAGGCATATGGAGATACAGGGTAGTGATGGGTACCCAACAATGTGAATGTACTTTCTGCCATTAACTGTTTGCCTAGAATGGTTTGAGGGACATATGTTATGTCTGTAGAGATTTACCAAAACTATTAAAAAGTGAAAAGGGAAGAATAAGACCCCCATGATTCTACTGATGACCATGACGAGGGCCACTCACCCACCCACTGAAGCTGCGGAGCGGTTGCTGACTGTGAGCCTGCCTGCTTATGTGAGCAGATTGATCCCAACCCTAATGTGAGAGTTACCTCAGGTCAGTGCAGGAGCTCAACACTGAGGGGCAGAAAGCTCCGTTTTAAAGAAGTTCTCGAGGCTGCAAATACTGGGGAGTGGTTGAGAACTAGCCAACAGTGCTGCAGGGCTCTGAGTGTGACCCCTAGAGCTGAAGAAGAGAAAACACACACACACACAGAAGCACACACACACACACCACACATCATACACACACACACACACACAGTACACACAAATATACCACACACACACACACACCACACACACACACACAGACACACACACACACACACACATCATACACACACACACACAGGACACACAAATATACCACACACACACACACACACACACAGAAACACACACACACACACCCCACATCATACACACACACACACACACATCATACACACACACACACAGGACACACAAATATACCACACACACACACACACACACACAGAAACACACACACACACACCCCACATCATACACACACACACACACACATCATACACACACACACACAGGACACACAAATATACCACACACACACACACACACACACAGAAACACACACACACACACCCCACATCATACACACACACACACACACATCATACACACACACACACAGGACACACAAATATACCACACACACACACACACCACACACACACACAGTACACACAAATATACCCCACACACACACCACACACCACACACCACACATCACACACACAAACACACCACACACACACCACACATACACCACACACACACACTACACACAAATATACCACACACACACACACACCACACACACACACACAC